TTATTTTAATTTTGCATTCTTAAATTTTTCTTAAATCCTGCAATATAGTTTCACGGTGAATTCAAAAGTGACTCTTTCGCAGTGGTTTCATTAACAATTGATGATGCATGGATTTACGACACCCCCATAGTGAGATGGTCATGCCCAGTTAACACCATCGCGACAGCAAGTTTACAGGTCTAACTTAATGGAGAATGGAGAATAGAATTACAAGGGTCTTTGGGATTCTTATGGAAGAGTTTTGCGGGACAAAAGTCTTCAAATCAAGGTCCACTCTATGTTAAAGGATTGCCTTGAGCTTACCAAAATACATACCGGGAATTCTATCATTGCTTTAGCTTATGAAGCAGCATTCAATTCTGCATGAGCTAATTTATATTGGTTAATAAGCTTCATATTCACCCACAAGAACCTTTTTCTAGTGGAGAATTCTCTACAACGCCATCCCCACTCGTGTTTGGCTCATCAGGAGGGGCCCCAATAAGGTCACGAAATGCCCTTGGAGATCCAACCAAGCAGAGGACAGCAACCACATTCTTTCTAAATTTTTGCTTTTATGCAAGGTATTTTGGAGCCTTGGGGCATCAAGATACCCGCGTTCAACACTTTTGATGAGGCGGTCGAAAAGCTAAGCAAGCTCCAAGGAAATAGTGTTGCACCGCTTCGATGCATATGCTACATCGTTCACTTTTGTTGGTGTACCCGTAACGCCAAAACTCATCATGCTACTCACAATAATCCTACTGTCATTACTTCCACTATCTTAGAAACGCTAACGAAGACATACATTTACCTTTTCTGAGAGCAATGGGATGCCAGCCGACCACGTGGGCCAGTTTCCTCTACCCTTTTCTGGCATCCTCCCCCTCCCGAATGGCTTAAAATTAACGTCGACGGAGCTCTCCTACCCTATTGAACAACCTGCATTGGATGCATCATTCGAGATGATCAAGGCTGCGATATTATTGCTACGGGACATCATTTCAGCATTGGGACAGCACTCAAGCGGAGCTTCAAGCCATTAAATCAATCCAAGAGATTTGCCAACTGTGGATGCAAGAATGCAAAGGGCATATCATCAAAAATGACAACACACTAATATCAGCACTTTTTAGTATTGATATGAATAGAATTTTGGAGCCATCGACCACTTGAGACACCAAATCTCGCCTTTCTTTTGCCTTTTAAGCAAGTATTATTTGTACATATCCCCAGAGATTGTAATAGGGCCGCTCACTTTTGTGTCAAGTGTGCAAATAATGGTTCTTTCGTTTTGTTGCATATAGGTGAAGATAAGGAACTTTCTACTATACTTGTAGATGACAGAGCTCATTTTTGTACATCCTACATACGCACATAAGCATAGTTTTTATAACTTTTTGATATATTAATGCAAATGCATATTTTTACGGAACATACTGATGAACGTATACCTAAAAGTCAAAAGGTTGTGTATATCGAACATTATGGCTAATCAACATAGCATATTATAGATGCATGTGATTTCAATATGTGTTTCACCTTTGTAATAGTTGGATGGGATGGTGGTGCACATGATACTCAGATCTTAGATTTTGTTGTACGAAATAGCCATTATCATTTTCCAATATCTCTTCAAGATTAATATGCAAACAAATAAATTTTATAGCTTATTTTATAATGTGTATTATTAAATAAATTCTATGTAAGAAAATATTATCTAGCTGACGCTAGTTATCCTTTATAGCATGGGTTTCTTAAGTCACATCCTCAAACGGATATCACATCCCAGATTTTGGACGGGCAAGCAAAATAGTTTGTGGGAGAAAAGAAGTATTTAACAAAAGACATTCTTTTTTATGAGGGGTTATTTAAAGAATGCTTGATATATGGAAAAAAAAAAGAGTCATTCTTCAAAATATACATGCATATCCTTTCAAGAAGTAGATGAAGAATGTGGTTGTGTGCTTGTGTTATGTCGGAATCCTAACCTAAGGGCAATTTTATCTTTCATACGCCTAAGAATAATTTAGTCTTTTATTATTATCATTGTTAGATATAAATAGATTAATTATGTTTAGGGTTAGGTTTATGCATGAGAATGAGTTGTAAGACTTAGGTTTAGGGTTTGGGAGAGATTTCCTATCTCTCGAATTGTAGGAATTTGAATAAATCGCCTACCTCTCGAATTGTAGGTGTTTATCATTGTATTTTTCTTGAGTTGTTTGGATTATTGAAAAAAAAATTGTGATTTCCCTAGTTTCTTGAAATAATCATGCCAATTTCTGCCTCGAATCGTATCAAATTAGTATTAAAGCAAAATTTTTGGGAAACAATGTTCGGGATCGTCATGCAATTGCGATTAAAGCTTGCATGGAGGATCGCGGCATACAGATGATTTTGTGACTTCGCCTCATAAAACAATCGTGATTGGAGCTAACAGAAAAAAATCGCGGCATACCTAGACCTGAAACTCACCTCCTTCATCGTCGTACTCGCGCGAAGCAGTAGCCATTAGGGCTACGGATATGAGGTAATGGCTTACAGTGAAGAGCCGCATGTATTCTCCTCCATCCACTCTGCCCTCGAGATCCTGTCGCGACCAAGCTAGCTGCAAAAGCAACTACGGGGTCATGGCATTGGCATACCGACAATCAAAACTCCCATCCGGAAGCGCAATTTTTATGTTGTAGTTCCGTCTTCGAAAAAACCGCAAATAGAGCCAGCAAAAGGATAGTCAAGCCTGAACCACGACGATTAGTGTCATAGTTTTCTGATTTAGCAAAGAATTATTTAAAAATTGCATTTCAAGGTATAGTCACTTGTCAGACGAATGAAACAACTGAAATTTTTGGAATTTCAGAGTTGGCACCGCAGAAAATAGCAATTCGACAAATCATATCGGCCTTATCTCACGATACATACGAGATCCAGGAATTTTGGGAAATCATTGACGGCATTTTAATGCATGGGTGCTTCCGTCTTCTGCGATCGAAAATTTCTCATGAATAATGGTAGAAAATAAAATAGAAGATTTGGAGAAAAAATTGGAGGAAGAGGTGGGGTAACTTAAATTCAGGATAGAAGAAAGGTTTTCTGCCATTGACAACCGATTCGAGAGCTTGGAGGAGATGCTAAGGAAGCTTATTAATTGCAATCCATGACCCCATCAAGGGTTCAGTTTGCAAACCCTACCCAAGGGTCGACCGGAGATTCATTGGCTAAATCTAAAGGAAAAGAGATTGGACGAGGGGAATAAGAGGAGGAAAGCATCCAACTACAGGAACATCCTCTCATGACTCTGATTGGGGTAGATGGTTGAGAAGTTAAGGTTAGGAAGTTGAAGATGCCATGAGGAAGACGCATAATAGAGGGTGTAAAGGGTGGAGCAATACTTCTCTATGAATGAGCTAGATGGGGGCAGGAGAAACTCATGGAGGCAGGGATATGTTTGGATGAGAACTCTAGCTGGTTTTAGTGGAGGGAGGCTAGATAAGATATTCGATCAGTTCAATGGAAGAATTTAAGGATTGTTTATTGGAACGTTTCTGAGTCATTCGAAAAGGAAACATATACGAACAATTCAATGTCTTGACTCAGAAGAGGACTGTCATAGAATATAAGAAGAGAAATGAGCTATTGTCGGAACTGCTAAGGGGGATTTTTGAGGAAAATTTCATGAAGGGCCTAAAATCCAACATATGGGCAGCACTCTGATTATTGAGACCAAAGGAATTGAAGAAGATTGTGGAGCTATCCCAGATGGTGGAGGACAAAAAACCAGATGAAGAAGGCCGACAAGAGCAACACAAATGGAGTGTTGAAACAAACTTTGACAACCACAACGATACCAAAAGCTCAAACAGCGTAAGTCCAAAGAGAGGTTGCACAAGATAAGAATAATTGGCCACGACTGGGAGCGACACTCAAGCGCCTTACAGAGACAAGATACATGGGGAGTTGATGTTAGAGGAGGGAGAGAATAACAGGAACAATGGGGTCAGACAATGATCAAGATAGGGGGTTTTACTCTCAACACATGGGAAAAAAGAATGGAGGGAGAGAAAGTTGGGGTGTTGATGCTAGGGTAGGAAGTGAGATAAAATACGATATGCTTATAGAAAGCAAAAAACACAAGATTATGAAAAGATCCACAAATAGAATGACATGTTCATTGAAAAGAGTTAAAAAAAAGAGATTAATAATTTGTCCTCATATCATGGCATACAATAATCACTCATTAACTATTGCATTTATTAATTGTTCTTTCAACTCAATCATATCTCCAACGATATCACAAACATTATGTGATATAGACAACCCCAATTGAAACTCATATGCTTCTGAAAGAACTGTCGACTGATTTTCGTCAGTACTATTAAAATCAATGTCATCTATTGTAAGATGACGTGAATATAATTGTGAAAAGCCATCAGCATGATTTTTTTGACAAATAAGGGCAGATACACATTTTTTCTTCAATAATCCAAACAACTCAAAAAGAATACATTGATAAACACCTAAAATTTAAGAGGTCGAAGATCTCTCCCAATTCCTACAATTCAAAAGTTAGGAAATGTCTCACAAACCCTAAATACATAAACCTAATTTTCTTGCTTGATTCTTGTTTTGAAAATCTATGATGAGATATATGACCATAAAGGCTCTTCTGGATGAATTTAGGTTGCTATGGTTTTTGACATATATGAATTTGGTATCAAGGCAACCAATATCACTTTATTTTTAAGTTATATGAACTTGGGGGTTCTTCTAGAGGGCCCTTTTGTCAATATGCATTTGTGACACATACAAGCTTGATAATAATTAGTTAAAGGCAACAAAGATCCCCTTATTCCTAGGCCATATTCATTAATTTATATTTTACTCTAATACATCATTTTTTTTAATCCTATTTTGGCATAAAGTTTGTAGTGTTTATTAACCTAAAATCAACCAACCATCAACCTTTCTGATTAAGGCGTAGGATAGCAATGATTTTTAAATTGAAAATAAAGACATACCTGAAAAGTTGGGGCATCCGAGCAGCAAGCAGACCTATTGCTTGGAAAGCAAAAGATTTAGCATCTTTAGCAATAGCATCTGGATGAAATTTAGCTTTCATATCAATTCAGCAATTTAGTATGAAAATCTAAAAAATAAATAAAATTGTATGATGCAAGAGCTTAACAATTTCTGGAAACTTGATAAGGGGAAAATAAATAAGAATAGCAGTGAACCTGTTTCAGCAAGTGAAGAGCCATCAAGTTGCCTCGAAATCGCATTCAGGATGACAGGACCCATAAGTTTTAATCGATCGATTAATGCCTGTGTAAGAAATAAAGAAGTTGATAGAGAAAACTATATAGTAAAATTACTGCTTCAAGGACTTCAATAGAAATGTTATTGAGCACTACCTCAATCAGGCTAAAACCCCCAACAAAAAATATGTAGTTTGAGCGTTAATAATGAAAAAAAAGTATTGTGTTGAATTGACAAGAAAATGTACAAATCAACTTTATATGTATGTTTTTAGATACATTTTATGATACAAGAGTTAACCCAAACCACAATAAGGAAAAGCTAATATTGTTAGCGAAAGCAAATACGCGGTTACAATCAAACACACTTGAAAGAAAAATTGCAATAAACACGACACAAACTCACAATGGGGCTTGATTCATGGATGGTGGAGGTCAGCTAGGTAGTCGAGGAGCGGAGGTAGGTGTCTGAAATGGGTTTTGGGTGGTAGGAACAGCAAGATGGGCCCAAATTACGTTCTGCGGAGGGCTAGGACAGCGAGGAGCAATGAAAGGGAGGGGTTTTGGACTGGGAGTGATGCGGGAAGGTTGGGGAAGGGTGGAGGCGGCTGTTTGGGATGTCAGCAAGGCTGGGAAAGGAGGGAGACGGCAGGAAATGGGTAAACTCTATGAAAAAAACAACAATAGTTGTTGTGTTGGGTGGCTGCAGCAGGGACAGAGCAGCCGAGAGCAACGTGAGAGAGATGTTGAAAGGAAAAAGAAAGATAATCACCACCTAGGAAAAGAGATATAGATGGAGCACCAATCAAACCCTCGAATACAGCTCTCTAAGGAAGAAATGGACACTAAAAGTTGTTCTGAACAGAAACATGACAGAACCTCCTCTTCCAAACTCCAATACAACACATATATAGAAAAGAACTAAGGAATGAAAGATAATTGAAATGAAAGCATATGAAAGAAAAACAGAATTGCTTCGGCCCGTCTCCCACAATAGTGAATCCTGCGGTATTGCAGCAACTACATTACAGCGGAAATGTTTATGTGAAAAGCTCCCCGCATCAATCTCCCGATTATGGGGGAGCTTTGACCCATCTATCAAAATTTCTTATCTTCTCATGGTATGGTGTCTGGTTAGCCACATTAAAGGTGACAGAAACGTTATAATCTCTGAGAGTCAAGTTGTTGTCGTTGACATTCCAAAGCACATCTTGATAGAATAGGTATCCATTCTGTTTTGTCATAATCACAACTGAAAGTGTATGTGCATGGATATCCTCACGAACCAACCTTGTGGCCTCCCCCTCCCTCTTCGAATCAAACTACCACGCTCATCGGCTACCTCTTCCTGTGTCTTTTCTTCACGTTCCGTCAATTGTTTCCTCAAAGATATGATTCGATTTTGAGTGTGGCGGGTAGAAAGATGTGTGTATGGGTGATGTAGGGCTGAAAAAAAAAATGATGAGTGAAGATAGGGTTGGGTATTGGTGAAGGCTAGAAACCCTATGATAGGACTAGAGTTAGGCTAAATTTGATACCAAAGTTAACCCAAACCACAATAAGAGAAGTTAATATTATTGTTTAAAGCAAATATTCAATTACGATCTAACACATGCAAAAGAAATTACAACAAACATGAAACAAGTTGGCACTGGGGCTCCATAGATGCGTCATAGAGGTCAGCTAGGTGGTCGAAGAGTGAAGGTAACTGGCTAAAATGAGTTCTAGGTGGTTGGAATAGCAAAAGGAGATGTTGGAATTGTGTTGGCAATGAAGCGGGGGCTGGGACACCAAGGAGCAGCGAAGGAAAAGAGTTGTGGACTGCAAGGCAGCAAGATGAGTGTTGTACGGTGTGGTAGGTTTCAATCCAAATGGCAGCAAGTCAGAATGATGTTGGACAGCAGGAAAATAGCAGTTTTCCTGATGGCGACAATGAGGATCGGTAACTGAGAGTGATGCGGGAAGGTTCGGGAAGGGTGAGGGTTGTGTCGGATGTGCGCGAGGTGAAGAAGGGGGGAGGCACCTGAAAATGGGGAAACTGTAAGGAAAAAACAGTAATGGTTGTTGTCCTGGGTGGCTGCAGCAGGGACAAAGCAGTCGGGAGCGACGTGAGAGGGATGTGGAAAAGGATAAGAAAGATAATCACCACCTTGGCAAAGAGATACAGCAGGCGTACCACCAAACCTTCAGATATAGCCCTCGAAGAGAGAAAGGGATGCCGACAACTGGCCTAAATAGAAACACAACAAAGCCTCCTATTCCAAAACCTATTACAACACATATACAAGAAATGACTAAAAATGAATGAAGGATGATAGGAAAGAAAGCATAAGAAAAGAAAACAAAACTGTTTTGGCACATCTCCTGCGGTACTACAGTATCAAAAATATTTGCGCGGGAAGCTCCCGCATCAATTCTATTTGAAGTCCACAGCTTCATGCACTTTCAGCACTCTCCTAAGGAAGCTAAAACACGAAGTTATTGAAAGAACAGTTTTTAATTCACAAACCACCATGAAAATTCAATACCAAACTTGTTCATCAATCATCATCACAGGTCAACAGCTGCAGGCACACCTTCACACAGCCACCATCCCCAACCACCCAACCCCAACATCAAGTCTTCTAATCACCATCCTCTTCCACTTTCATGGCTAAAATCTTTCTATCCCACATAATGTGCTCCTCGTCCTTCCTCAGTTCACTCCATATCCTCCATTCCCTTTATCCTTTTACCTCTTTTAATCTCCCCTCCATCCCTCACTCACTTATTCAAATTCCTCCCACTGAAGGTCTCCTCTCAACTCTATAATCTTTGTTGATCTATGCTTTCCTGATCCCTTCGAATCGCAACTTTCCCTCCTCTCTACATCTATATTGCCCATACCTTTTCCTTAACACAGTTAGGTCCCTTCAACATAGACCCAAGTACTAAAATATGTGCAAATTGGTACTGCAAGAGTAACATTTAAAATTTTATATCAAAGTAATTAAAAAATTGCATAACACTTTATTGAACAAAAGCGAATTTAATTACCCAAAGAAAGAAAATGAACTAAATTTATTAGTTTGTGCATACATGTTTAAACACCCAGACAGTAAACTCCATTCCCAACTGTTTCAGTCTTGATGTTGTCCCGCTTCCTATCACAGGAAAACATGTACTTTATTTACAGACTTGTGAAGGTCAATTTCAACATGAGCTTCGTGATGGAATAATGACAACAAAATAACTAAAGAAAGCTTCTGAAAAGAAATGGAGTTAACACCCATTACAGCAGTAATGCTTGATTCGTATGCAATAACACTGGAAAGTAAACTCTAGCAAATGTTTTAAACTGAAATAAATTTTCAAATTTGTAAGGAGCTTCATGTACACTCCTGCAAACTGAGATACGTGTTTCTACATGAAATAAAACTTTAATAGTCTGGCATACATGCCTCAAACCATTGCTGCAGTTCAAATACAAAATACCATAAAAAATAAACCATGTTTATTTTTTTTAAATAAAAAACAATCTTGATCAGAACACTTATCAACAATAAAATCTTGCATCATCGCAGTTTCAAATTTGCTTAATGCATCAGAAATCATTGCACATTATACGTAGTAGATTTTCACCAAATAATATACAGACTTCTTTAAATTGAAGTATTGAACTTCAGCAAAATTAAGTATTTTGACATGAAACATGAGCTATGAATGGCACAAGTCAAACTGAGACCCTTTGAGCTCAATCTCGTTCGTATCTTTTCTAATAAAGTTCAAATCAAGCTTGAAAATTACTCAAATTTTAAAATCTTGCTCAATCTGTTATATAAGTTTCTTTTTGAGTACAAGATGAACTCATGTTTACATTGAGCCTAACTAATAATACGTAGGATGCTAATTTAAATATATAGCCTTATTACAAAATATAATCTGTGCACAATTTTCCAATAAAATTGCCTAAAGTCATCAAGTATTTTTACTAATATTTTATAAATTTTAAATTTAACACAAAACAAACTTCATTTTAATATATTCATTTAGCTATTTGCTTAGAGTTATCATCATTATTAATACTCATGTAACTAATAATATAGCAGAGAGGTTAATTTTTCTCTTAGCTTAAAAAAACATTTTTATTAAGGGTCTTTTTCTCTTGCAACTAGGCTAAAAAATTTTCGATGAGATAATAAAAAAAACCAGAAAGGCTTTCAGAACTCTGTATAGCATTGATGCATGATTCCCCTTCTCTACTCTCTCACTAGTTTGTCTCTCTCCTCATTCTATCTCTAAGACTCTCTCCCCATATCATCTTCAAACATACTAATCTTATAGGTTACTTCCAATTCACTCTCCATTACCCACTCTTGTCATGTCCTCTTACTTATTTCCCTCTGGTCCCCTCACTTCATAAATTCTCTTCCGGCATTATTCTTCCCTTATTTTAATTCTCACTACTTCTCAAACCCATATGGCATCTTTATGTTACAAACACCACAACCCTATTAGGAAATCATAGAAGATTTGTGGTGAAAGAGAGGCAAAAAAGAGGGAAACAAGGACAAGAGGAGAATCATGAACACAACTTAAGAGGAGTGAAAAGCATGTCAAACATCATTCTATATAATAATCATTGTTTACTTTTTGCATGACCTCTTCATCTCTATTAAGAATAGAAAATCATAAAAGACGAAACTAATAATCAAATTTAGCATAAACAGCTTACAAATCATAATATTAAACTTGCAACTAAAATAAAGATTAAAAAATCATAAGAAAATAATAACAAAAAAATCAACTGCCCTTAATATAACACAGCGTAATCAAAAGTACACTTTGGGGGCAAACTGAAGAAATGTATTGGCGATGTACATTCTTACATGTGAAACACAAGCATATAGCACATGTGTCGCATTGCCCTACCACATCTCATCAATAGTTGCATGCACTTAAGTTAGCGCAAAAAAAAGTTTTAATTCATATTTCAATTTTCTATTAAGCATCTACCATAATAACTACGGAGAAACATTTGTTTGTTATTTATCATAACCATTACGTTGTTACTTATTAGTTATCTTGTAATAACAGAAATAATAATATTATTATTATTATTATTATTATTAAATGAATAAAAATGAGAAGTGCAGCCATTTGGAGGGACGCATCCCTTCGGATCAAACATATGATATCGTTCGATCATCTCTTCATTTGAACCATCGAATAGAAGCGAAAGAAGCGAACGAGAGAAAGCGGGAGATATTGAGAAGTTATTGTGCCTAGCCGAAGAAGGAAGAAGGAGAAAAAGAGAAGTCGAAGTAAGGGTTTTGCGGCACTGTCCAAACCTGAGGAAAGGGACGTCGAGTGTTGAGGGCTTATCCAGATCGAGCAGCGATCAAAGAGGATGAAGGGAGTCGAAACCTCTGCATGCGCTGCTTTGTTGAGGGGAGTTGAAGCCAAAGAAGGAAGAGAGAATCTTCCTGCGGTGCTCGTGTACAGGAAGAATAAGAGAAGATGACTCGCACTTCTCTGCATTTAATCCAGGCTAAAGGAAGATAGAGGAACGGTAATCAGCGTACTCCATTGGATTGCGCTGCAATCGAAGAAGAAGAAAGGAAGGGAGCTCACACAATTGAGCTGAAGGCAGGACAAAGAAGCAAGGAACAATCTTTTTCGCATGAGAGTCAAGGCAGGCCAAACAATATATGAAGGTAAGAATATATATTTTAGTTAATTAGTATATTATTTTATACGAGAGTATGTGATTATGAGTTTGATAAAATAAGTGTTAATAGAAAGTTATTTGAATCAGGAACAAATTTATCAAAATTCTGAATTTTACGAAAGAAGTAACACAATTTTCAAGTGAAAAGGAAAAGGAAGATTGTCGAGCACCCAAAAGATTTTGAGGTACGTTGGGTTTCATTAAATTGATTAATGAATTTATTATGTGTGTGAGGGTATTTTATTAAATAATATTAATGGAAAGTCTTTAGAAATCAAGACTCAAATAATTAGGAATTTCAACTTTGAAGGAGAAGTTTGTGAAGCAAGCAAGGGAGGAGATCAAACTCAAAACCTATGAGATAAAAAGTTAAGTCTTCTGGTGTTATTGAAATTAATAATATAATTAGTTAAAGTAACGTTATTAAATTTTCTTACTGTTCATAAGTGAGGATGAACCTAAAAAAATCTTGGGATTTGAAGGAGATAAAGGAACCTAAAGCTAAAAGATGTTAACATTTTAATAATTCTTTTATATGTAAATATAAGTTTCTTTAGGATATAGAACTTAGTTATATGCATATTTAATTGGTCTACGTGATAAGAAGCGAAGTGAAGCATTAAGTATTTCAAAGGTCTTTTAAAGCTAAGGTGAGTAATTATTTTCTTATATGTATTAAATTTAAAGCTTATTAAATAAATAATTAGAAAGAATTCTTAATGTTAAAAAAAAAAAAAGGAAATAACTAAAATGAAAGGAAATAAAAGTTAAAAATTTAAGAAATGCAAGATTACCCCCAGGAGGTACTAGTAGGGGATGTAATGTACTCGTGCACATTAAAGGAATGGTAAAAGTGTGTCTTGTAGTGCAAATTAAGGGTGCCTTCAAGCACATTTTGAAAGTGACTTCGGACACATTTTTTTATGATATCTTCAGGCATGACAATAATTTTATTATGACTTTTAAAAAGGTTTAGAACAGTAATTACTTAAAGTGGAACGGGAAGAGCTAAAACTAAAATTTTAGTGAACTTTTTTGTATTTTTCTTTGATCATTCATCCATAACATAGCATAAGAAATTTAATGCATATTAGATTATAATTGTTCACTAAGTTGCACTTAATGTTTTCTTTCAAGAGAAGAAAAACTTTTGGGGATATGTCAGATAAGAGAGATTTTGTTTACCAGAGGAACATTGCTTCTAGGTAGAATTCTTATGAGGAAAGTTTCTTTTTATTGTTCTTTCAGACAATGATATTATGTTTAATATTGGCTTGAGATGTTAGTTTTGAATGTTATTGTTTCTGATTAATTTAAAAATTATTGCAATTTGTGGATTATTGACACTTTTATATGTATTCGAAGGTTTTTTTAAGAAAAATGTAATAGCGTCTGACCATTATTTCCGTCTTAGGTAATTCTAAGCACCGAGTCGAGTCGTGACAAAAATGGTATCAGAGACAGATTATGTTAGATCATGATCTAAAAGAGTCATTAGAATGATTACTTTAATTCATAAGTAATGTTGATAAAGAATTCAATCGTATCTAATTATAATCTCTTTCATGTTATTTCATAAATATGGAAAATCAGGGGGATGATTCTAAAGATGATAGAGTAGAAGTTGTTACACCCCCGCAAGTTTCTATAAATGCAGATGCATATACCGAGATGATGACTGTAGTAACTCATATGATTAAGAACTCTCAGGCTCAGGTCAGTTCCAATGGAGGGGGTCTGATGAATAAGTACCTGAAATTATTTCAGGACATGAGACCACCTCTTTATTCTGGAGAAGAAGGTCCAATGGATGCTGAAAACTGGTTGTTGTGAGTAGAGAAGATCTTCGATGGATTGTACTGTCCTCTTGAGAGGATGGTTATATTGGCAACTTTTGCATTGGAGGGAGAAGCAGAGAGATGGCATGGACAGTTGCAAAGGAAATTTGGTGGTAAAGCCAGTCATAAGATTCTGTGGGGCGAGTTCGTGAGCACCTTCAAAGACTGATATGTACCATTGTTTGTCAGGAGACAAATGCAGAACAAGTTTATCAGGTTGGTCAAGGGTGATCGCTCGATTATGCAAAATAAAGTTGGATTCGCCATGCTCTCTGGTTATGCACCACAGTTGATCCCTAATGCAGAGAAGTGCCACCGATTTTTGTCTAGGCTAAGGAATATGGTTAGGCAGTCATTGATTCCTCTTGGAATTGATGATTACTTTGTTCTGGTGGAAAGAGCTAGAAGGAATGAGCTGGATCTGAAGGCTACTCAGATGAAGGGCATTCAGAAGAGAAGAAATTCAAAGGGATCCAAGTTTCCTCAAGGCTCTCAGAGGTAGTCTTTTCAGTCAGTCGGTATAAGTGCTAAGAAGACTAGATCCAACAGCGTTGACACTCAGTTTGACGCAAAGAAATGTGACAAGTGTGAAAGG